GACTGACCTCAACACAAGCACACCAAGAAGTCTGACCCTATGCAAGAAGCCAACTCAGCCATTCCCTCCTACCTCGGATCTCGTACTCTTCCACATCCTCTGCAGAGCCAGAGTCAGAGAGCCGCATGGAGCCGTGGGAGCTGAACTGGGACCCGCTGTCTGTCGCCACAAGACCTGGCACAAATGCATCACAGCTAGGTCACCAATGGAAGTGGCCTGAAGGGTCACTGACAAATAAAGGAGAGGGGTAGCCAGGTATGGCCAGGGAAGGGAGGGATGGAGCTCAAGTATGGTAAAAGCTATGGGTTCAAAATGAAATTACATTCCATAACTCAGTGCAAGCAGCACACCTGTATTATCAATGCACAGTATGGGTCCCATATGCTCTTAAACAGCAGCAGCTTCACAAACCTCTGCAGCACTTCGGAAGTAATATGACTGTTTCCCAAGAAAGGGCAGGAAGGCAGGATACTATAGGATAGGACAGAAAACCTGCATGCCACTAGTTGATGAGCCCAAAACACATCACTCACTGTCTGAGCCCATCTCCTGACAGGTAGGGAAGAGGTGCCTGGTGCGGATCTGCTGGCGCCGAATACGAATCTTTTGTTTAAGCTCCTGGATCTCCTTGTCGCTGTCCTCCTCCTCCTCCTCCTCCAGCTGTCGGCTCATCATGTTGCATTTCATCAGCTCAATGGCAGCAATCAGGGACTCTGAGATGCTGAAGTGGGCATTCTCCTGCAAGGCAAGAGCAAAAGCATTCAAGGCTATGCCACGGACAAATTAGGAAGACTTGGTAAAATCTTGTTCTCCACCTACAACAGGAAAGAGCTTATTACTCATGGATGGTGGTAGGAAGACCTTAATCCCTGTCAACCCCACAAAATACATGACTCTTCTATGAGGACCTAGAAAATAAAGCTATTTTGGGCACCAGAATACTCACAAAAAATAAGGGGCATCCTACGAAGAGGACGTGCAACACATCCACTCTGGGAGGTCAGCACATGGCCCCAAGGAGCCCTAGCATGTTGCAAAGCTGCTGTGTACATGCTGCATGGGCAGATTCTGGCTGGAAAACACCAGCGAGGAGCTCGACCTTGAAGTTCTGTGTACAGCTCTATAGCAGGAAATACCATGGCATTATCTTCTCCATGGAGGGAAGTATTGTTGAACCTGCAGTAAGATACAATTTCCAAGGCACACAGGCTTTTGCTGCCTCCCTCACCTTCTCTAGGTCTGCACAGCTGCCAAAGTCCTGCTCAGAGAGGTAGCTGATGAGGGACTGTCCTTCTGAGGGTCTCCTAAACATCCCTTCCCCTGAGCTCAGGTACTGTCCAGAGTCTAGAAAAGCAAGAGACAAAGGTATGAGGAAAGGAACTGCTGCTATCTCCGTGCTCCCAAGCCCTGCCAGTGCCCAACCAGCACCCCACAAGCAGGTACCAGAAGCTGAGGCCACTGCAGCTGATGGAGGAGCCTGACCAGGAGCGAGTGTCCCCACTGAGGCTGGCTGTACTCACCATACTCCATGTAGAGGGAGCTGGGTGTGCTCAGTTCACTGCTCTGGGTGGAAGCAGAGACCGGCCCTCTCCCTCCACTTGGATCACCATGGGACTCTGGAAGGGAAGATGACACTGAGCACACCTCAGTACCTCAGATGCATCCAGCCACTGCACAGGGTGAAATGAAAAGGGTTCGGCATCACACGCACAGGCACAGATGGATGGAAACAAGGAGGGACATCTTCCTGCTCCATGCCAAAGCCCAGGGCAAGCCCAGCAGGGGACAAAACTAGAATGGCATTTCAGGCAGGAGAGAAGGGGAAAGGAGGAGAGACTCTCATAAGAGCCATGGAGCAGTCAAGTCTTGAACCTTCCTCTGTCTACCCCTGAGTAGAGCTGGGAGACACAACAGGCTTCAGCAAGCGCCTCTTGCCAGTCCCTTCTTCCTGCTGGAGCATCTCCAAGGGAAATGTTCCCCCACAGGGCAGAGAGTCAGGAGAAGAGACAAGGGCAAATCCGAGCAGTTAAGGGATCTGTGGGGTTCCCAGCCCTGCAAAGCAGCCTGGACACCAGTGTAAGGAAGGATCTGAAGGACACAATCTTTCTCCATTACAAGCCAGGGTTGCCCACACACAACCCTGGAGCCTGGCTGCAGTGCTCAAGGTGACCTACACGGGCTGTGGACAGGGCTCTGCCCCATGCACACACTCTGCTGCAACTCCCTACCGGGTTGAGCTGGCAGAGACTGCCAGGAGCTGGCCTGACCGGAGACCAAGAACAGACGGTGCTCCATGGAGAACCATGGCCCCAGGGAGCACCTGGATGGAGCAGCTGGGTGACAGAGGACTGCTGAAGGAGACTGAAAACACCCTGAGTGGGACAGGAACATACTGCTCTGGATATGTGGCAGGTGCCAGCTGACATCCTGAGTACAGCAGAAGGGCAACCCTGTCCTCTCAGCCTCCTACTCATTTTTGCTTCCAGCTTTGTGTCATAAGTCTGATGTGGCTGGGGGCTCCTGAAACCACCCACACCAGCCTCTCCCTGCCAAGACCACGAAGCAGCAGTCACCAGGATGGGCCATACGATCAACCCACCCCACAGGTTGGGAGACAAAGGAAATTTGCCAGGGTGGGAAGCTCACAGCAGATCCCTGCAGACTGGCAGGGTGTCCTGCTGCCACCTCCACACTGAAACACCTCATGGGGTGGATGCCTGAGGGATGACACATACAAGAAAGCTGAAGGGTAAAGTGAGGCAGCACTTGGCATCATCTGCTGGAGCAGGACACAGGGCTGGACACGTCTGAATGTTCACCACCACCAGGGAGGAACCTTCCCAGTCACAGAACCTTCAGCACCCAGATATGAGCTCGGCAAGCCCAGTGCTCAACGGATGCAAAACAGAACAGCCCATTTTTTTTAACTGCTGACTCTTCCTGCATGTGGGGCAAAGGAATGGCAGCACACCAGCACCTCTGCTTGGGGAGAACCTGCTCTGAGCGCAAAACAGCATCTGGGAGTCACGGCTGTGAGTGCACACACAGCTGGAACTCAGCCAACATCAAACCTCCATGTGTCACAGATCCACTAAATGAAAGGGAAAATAAGATGTTCAAGCCCATGCCTGCTTAGCTGCCAGCCATTATTTGCCAGGTGAGAGATGAAACCTCTTCTGGCTCCCGAGGCAGTGGGAAGGGCAGGGGATGCAGCTCAGGGACTCAGTGCCCAGCGCTCCCTAACGCCATGCAGGGGAGCTGGGCACACTTCTGGGTCTGGTCCATTGCTCCCAAAAAAACAAGCTGGGATCTTCAGCCAGGTCACATGCATAAACCTGACCACACTTCAAAGCATCAGCTGGGACACAGCAAAGAAAGAAAGTTTTTCATTTTCTAAATGGACACTAATGAGTTGATGGCAATCCTGAACTTGATGAATGATCACTAATGAACAGCTGTTACACTGGCTCCCAAACCTGCCACTGGATCTTCTATTATAATGGTGATATCCCTGAGGCCTCCTGGGCAGACAGAGAAGAGCAGCATTAAGAGACAGAAAACAGAGACAGACTGGTTACCACTCAGCAAGGACTTGCACTTCTCCTATGAAGGCAGCACCAGTGGGGCAGACTCCCACAAACTGATTGTTCTCTCACATCCCACTCTTCCCATCCCCATGCATTCACCCACGGAAGAGCACAGGAGGACCCATCAGGCCTCCCATCCATCCAGTGGGATGACATCCTACCAGTAGGATGAGCCCAGGTCCCCGCCCGGTGCCCTGCCATGGCCCCATGCCCCAGCTGAGCAAGGCCAGTGGGAAACAGGATAGCGAATGCCACAGCATCACTGCCATTTTTTAAGATATTGGTAAAAGCTGCCAATACAACTAACAGTCTGGTCCAGAGCATTCTGGGAAGCAAGATATCAGCCCATCATTCCAAAGTGGAGTAGGAAAGCTAAGGGAAACGACCAAATTTCCCAACCACTTGCCCACTGTTCCTCTCCCTGATCTGACCCATGGAGTCAAAGGGGTGGCCAGCATCAGTCTCTGGTACTAGGGACCCTCACACCCAAAAGACATCCCAGAAAAGCTGTCCCATTACCGTGCAACTTCCCCGAAGTCACGTTGGTGTCGGAGTGTGAGCGCACGTGGCTCTTCTTGAGGATACTCTGTGGAGCTGACGACTGCCCCTCTGAGAAGCTGGACCGGCGCAACAGGCTCAGGCCCCTGCTTCCACCTCCACTTGCCCCCTGGTCCCCCAGGGATGACACCGAGTCCAGCTTCTGGGAGCTGCTGGAGGAGAAGAGTTTGGAGCTACTGCTCTTAGTGCTGTTGGTGCTGGCATTGCTGCATGCCCGGCCCCGGCGTCCCAAGTTCCCAATAGCCAGGTACTCCGGCCCATCATTAACATCGCTCTGCGCATCATCCTGACTCCCTGTCCAAGTGTCCTCGCTCTGGCTGGTGGTGCTGGAGCTCATCTCGCTGGCCGGAGTGTCTTTGGATGAGGGGATGTGGAAACGGCTGACAGAGCCAGGTTGCTCCAGAGGGGACCTGCCCTCACTGAACGAAGAGGACCGAGTGGACGGGCAGCATTCCTGGAGTTGGCTGGAGCTCACAGAGGAGTTCACAGGTCTCCTGTCTGGACAGAGGCAGAAGCATAATGTCACAGACTCTGGCACAAGCAGACCACCCTGTGGCAATAAGCTTCTGGTTTCATACCAGCACGTCCACCCACCATAGGCAAAGGCCAGAGACCTCCCTCCCATCACCAGCAGAGATCTCACACACATCCACCACAATGGAGAGCAGATTAAAAGGGTGAAGGCTTTTCAGGGCCTACCCTGAGATTCCCAGCCCACCCTTGATACCTGTGAGGCCAGAAGGAGCTGGATGGTGCAGGCTGGAGAAGGACCCAAAGCAGCGCTGCTGCATGCAGCTGGCAGTGGGGACATACGGGGATGCAGGGAGGGCAGTCAAGCTCTGACTCTTGGTCACTGGAGACGGATTGTCACTCTTCCTGGTAAACTGAGGAGAGAAGGCATCATTAATAAATCAACATCTATGAGGCTCCATGTCAAAGGAGCAGTAATAGCAAGGAATTGACCAGCAAGTGCTTGGTCACCAGCCACCAAAGGATGCAGCAGCCCTAGGGGCAGGAGGATGGGGAGAGAAAAACACTGCAGCACAGAAGGGAAGCAGTTCTTTGTTCACAGCTACAGGACAGGCTCCCATTGGGAAATTACCAGGCTCTCAGAGAAATGATCCAGGCAGCCTAGCGCTCCAGGCAGACGGCTCTCATTTCCTTCAGCATTGTGGTCACACATCTCTCTTGTCCCAGCAGCAGGGTCTGACGCGCACAGGGATGGCAGTGACGTGCCAGCCAGCTGAAAGAACACAGCCCCCATTTAACAAAGCCTCATTAATGGCTCTCCTCTGGGGAGCTCTCTGCAAAGAAGGCAGCTGCTGTTCCCCTGCTACAGAGAGGGGGCAGCTGGCACAGGGCTGCACAGGGGGTCACTGGTATCACCAGCAGGAGTGGGCACCCAGGCATCCTGGGGTATTGCCCATCCTCTCAAAGGATGACTGTCCTTCATGACTGCAGATCTGCATGTTGGCCCTGACGCCTGGGACTGTTGGAGAGGGCTTGCCTCTTACAAGGAACTGGTCCTAAGGTCCTCATACTCCAAACCTCAATGCCAGCCTGAACCCGGGTGGCCCACCACAGGCTCCACACAGCCATCTCCCCCACCTCAACCCCTGCGAGGCTCACACAGGCAGCACAAGGACCAGCTCCTCCCATCATGGAGCAACTTTTGCTACTTCCAAGTAGCAAGTTGCCCCTTGTCCAAGTGCCCTGAATGAGACCTTGCAGGAACAGCCACAGCCAGTCAGCATCTGGGAAAAGCCAGATGTAAAGTCTTGGACCTCAACTCACCATGGAGGTGTCAATCTGAGCCAGAAGCCTGGGGTTGTTCTGCTCAACAGCTTCCAGGCACTGCAGCATGGCTGTGACGTGGGCGTCACTGAGCAGGAAGGCAGTGTCTGGAGACAGAAAAATACTGCTCGGAGAGATCCTTCTCACCCGCGTGGTTTGACACACTGGTTGCTCGCATGCAAACCAGCTTTTCTGCTGCATCCCCCTCACTCCCACACAGGTGGGAAATGCCATCAGCAAGATATTTTCCTAATAAGAAGGAAAAGGCCTACTGCTCTTTACCTGCATAGAACTTCCTGATGTACTGCCGGTTCCCCAGGAGCGGTTTCAGCTGTGCCGACAGGCAGTGGCACTGCAGGCTATGCTGCAGCCACAGCTGCGCGATGGCCTGGTCCCCTGGGCCCTCTGGGTCACGCTGGCTGCTCTCCTGCAGGCTGATGAACTGGAAAGTGACATCAGGCACAGGTTAAGGCATACAGAGGCAAGCAGGGCAGCAGGGCTTGTTCCATTGCACGGCTTTGTCCTCTTGATAACAGCAGCTTTCCAGCGCCAGTCACCATCAGCGGGAAGGAGGACAAGTCCCAGCAGCTCTCCAGCCACCAGGGAGGCAAAAACACCAGGCAGAAACATGCTTCAAAGGTCAGCCAGCGATCAAAGTCCTCTGACAGCCACCAGCACAATGAATTTCTCCTGCACACTCTCCCATCCGTGTTTTGCCCCTGACCTGGAGGGATCCCATGCTCCCAAATACAATCCCACCCTGGTGGTGATGGTCATGCTCTTGCTGATGCATTAACTGGGGAAGGTTATAGCAACGCCTGAGCTGCTTCAGCTTGAAGAGGTGGACTGCAGTCACACCCCACGTCCCCCCCAGCAGTAGCCTGGAAACAGGGACCACCAGTGGTCAGCCCCTTGTGCCCATCCACGGTGAGGATCATGGATGTCAGCATGGGGCAGCCAAGGACCAGGAGCATCCCCCTGTGCCAGTGGTTGGCACAAGTCAGGCATGGGAGAATAAATGCCACAACCCAGAAATGGGACAGCCCAGACCCTTAGAGATTTGCACAGATGCATGAATCACCCGTGCATACATACAAGCACTGCTTGTGCCAGTTCCCTTGGTGATGGCTGCTGTGCCCAGCTCAGCCGAGCTGGAGACTGGCCTGGGAGAAATAAGCAGTCAATTGTCTCAGCCCAAGCCACACTGAGTTACCAGGACACAGCTTGTACCCAAACACGCGGCTGCAACAACATTCACACGCTATGGAGCCACTTTATCCACAACAGCCAAGGCACCACTATCCAACTGGTGAGGCTCACAGCCCAGCTTCCCTCTCCCCTCCCACTGGCCAGCCCACCAGAACTCACCTTCTCCAGGTGATGAGCAGAGCCAGGACTCAGCCAGCGAATGTCCTTCACAAACTGCCAGTAATCCTTCTGCCGGCAGCACACCTGCCCAGGACAGTACCCAGGTTAGACAGGTACCACCTCCCAAGTCCCAGTTAAATGACAGTGTGCCCTGTTAGCCCCTTGCTGCCCTGAGACCTGCTGTTTGCCTCAGCTTTATTCAATGAGGTTTTTTTGTCCTTCCCGTTAGAGAGGAACTACAGCAGAGTTGCTGTTTTCCTCACCACCCTATTGGGTGTAAACACAGACCCAAAAAGTCTCTCTATCACAAAGCTGCTTATTTTTACTTCAATCTCTATTTCCTCTTTTACCAGTGACAGAGGAATAAGTTCTGTTTTGTGGTTATTTGGTTTGCAGGGGGGAGAGTAGATTGGTTTTTTTAAAACTAGAAAACTAACATAGCAATTTTAGTTCTCTAAGTTTAATTGGGTTTTCTGGACAAATACAACTCAAAAGTTTAAAAATCTCTTACCCTATTTCTCTTGTGTACATATGGATTTTTTCACTTTTTTTTATTCCTGGCTGTAGGCAAAAAATTGCTCAGACAATAACAAGTTAAAGGAAATGTTCTGCAGGAGAAACTATTAGATAACTTCTGTTAGAAAGGTGAATTTTTACAGACCTCCCTTTGCAGCATTTATGGTCTGATTGGTGTCACACATGCCCAAGCAGAGGAGACATTACTGAGTGGAAGAGCTGTCTTTGCCAATAGTAAAAGCCTTGAGGAAGGTAACACACTGTCCTGCTTTGCCAGTCAGGCATGAACTGTCACCAATAGACAGACAAGTATAAACCATTTAAATCTCCCTTCCTGAAGCCTATAAATCTATCAGAAGGGAGCACTGCACTCCTCACAGGGAAAAGGTAGCTTCTGCCTCTGCTGATTTCCCAAAGAAGGTCCCTGGTTTGTGCCACTGGGACCTAACAGGAACAGAGCAGCACTGTAATGAGTGCTGATTGCAAACTTAATAAATCCAAGGAGCAAAGCTTCCAGTTGGGACAACCTGCCAGTCTGGCTCTTCCTGGAGGCTTATTGTCTTGGGTACAGCACTGCATAGGTGCAGTTTTCCTGATCCAGGATCCAGCTAGCCTGTGCAAGCTGCCTGGGGCTCCTCTGCACCGCTCTCTTCTCTCTCGGTGGCAGAGCCACTGATGGGAAGCCTGACCCAGGCATGCCCTGCAGCCTTGCTTCAGCTCTCCATTGTAAATTAATTGTGCTGGTAATTGCAAGCTGAAGGGGAGATCTTCAGGCCTCTGCACACAAGTGGGAAAGAAATTCTTCCAGGCAGCCATGGAAAGAGGAAAGGCTGGGTGAGTAACTGCAGGCACAACAAGAGCCTGGAAAGAGGGATCCCATTCACGCAGAGCGCGGGTTTGGCTGCCAGCTCCTGTTATTAACACAGCTAACCAGAAACAGTAAAGATGTGAGGTTTCTCTTGCCAGGCCTTGCTGGGGACTTGTCCAAGTGCAGATGATACAGGGCTGACTCATCGCAAATGCAATTTAGTTTCCTGGCTGCAGCAGGAAGAAAGGAGAGAAGGGCTGGCCTCAGCACAGGGGGCACAGGTACTTAGAAAAGCCCTACTGAAGGTAGATGAGACAGAAGAAACCTGCACACAGGTCCCTCTGACAACCACAGCACTTGACAGGCAAGCTCAGTCCCTGCCTGGATCATTTCCCACACTGCTACAAGCACTGTACCCACTCCATGCTACGAGCACAGAAGTGAGCTGCACCAGACAGAACTGGTACCTGCTTGTGACAGGCACCAAAGCTGCTTCAGACAGACAGACAGATAGGCAGAGAGCCATGCTGGCAGGACAGAGCCCTACCTTGTCATGGATGAGCCCATGGTAGAGGATGCTGTGCATGTCTCTGCAGAGCCGTTCCAACCCACCATACTTGGACCAGACGTTTGGGTTGCTGATGGACACCAATCCTTCCACTGTGGTCTTCAGGTTGCCAAGCAGCTTCCAATGCTCCTTCCTGCAGAGCAACACAGCAAGATGCATCAGAGGTACAGCAAGAGGAGCTTCACAACCGGAACATGGTACTGCACTCTCTCCAAGGAGACTCTGGTCAGGCTGAAACCTTTGCTGGTCCAGAAGCTACCAAAGGTTAGCTAAAGGACTTTACACCTCCCTGTGGTCTCCCACAAATGGTTTGTGGACAACAGGCCATATAGTAATGATTCTTCTGATGACTGGTAGCCACCACCAGGAGACAGACGGAACAGACTGATGGCTTCTGCAATGTACCACTTGCTTAGCCTGGGCCAAAAAAGCTGAAGGACATTGCTCCTGCCTCTCTCACTTGCTTCATTCACACACTCTGTCTGTCAGAGACTGTTGAGAGCAGCAGCCCCTCAGGAGTACAGCAGCTGTAAGGAACAGCATGATGTCCACCACATCTAGCAGTCACTGGCCACACTGCACTCCAGCCCTGTCAGGATGCAGAGGTGCTCCACTCCAAGGGTGGTCACTCTTCACCTGCATCTCCACCTGCACAGCTGCTCTCTGGGCCCTGAGCTGCTGTAGGCACAGGCTGACATTCTTGCAGCTGAGGTCCCCACTCGAGTTGCTTCACAGTGCTCCCAGATGAACAGCAGCTGTCAGAAACACATACTCAAATAGGAGCCACTCTCTCAGAAGCAACAGGAATGCTGCAAGGTATAGTTAGGAGCATAAGTACCAAAAAAATACGCCTCTGCAGGGTTTGTAACACAAACACCTGAGCTGACACTTTAGAATGAAAGTCCATCCTTTCATCTGGCAGTATTTCAGCTGTTAATCCCTCCCACAGCCAAGAACAAACTGGATTTCCAAAGCAAAAGGAAAAAAGAAGGAAAAATTATGAAATAAATAACATTACTTTAAACTGTTCTCATTTTCATGCCTTGGGGATGAAAGTGTGGGTTGCATACTTCTGGCACTTAAAACAAAGCTTTTCTCACCAATATTCTCTTTTTGAGACTTGTTTGCTATTGCCAAACTGATAAGGTGACCAAGCAGATCATCAAACATTGACTCTGTTTCAAGCTCCCCATCCACTCCCCTTCCTCATCAGAAAACCTCACCACTTTCAGTGCCCACCTAAGCTTAAACCACGCAGCAGTCAACCCATCCCACATGCAAAGCCTGACACCCCAACAGCACAGAAGCTCTAAAGCAGAGCTGCAGTGCATATGGAAGTATGTATATGTTGATGATATACTTAGACTAACAAGCACAGTCAGGACTTTATCTCAGGAGAGACTGAACTAAAAAATGCACATATATAAATCAAAGGCAGATTCCTGAAGGAGATACAATTTGGGGAGACACAAAAATGATCCAGCTGTTCTGAATTTATGGGCTTTTCACATCCCTGCTCCGAAAGATGCAGATACTCTTTGTCTACGGATGCCCAGAAAGTCACTGCCAGTCCCTGGTCAAAGATCATCTGGAGCCACTAAGCTCCAAATGTCACCAGCTCCTCCCTAAGATATTTTCAACACTCAGAGTTAGGAAACGCAAGTGAAAGCTCAGCCACATTGTTGGTCTTCCAAGTCAGTGAGTCAAGGGAACTCCCTCTTATGTTATTTCATGCTATAAAAAGCAGGAGATGCACACAAGGATGTGAGGGCAGTGCACGCAGACATGTGCCTTTCCAAATGAACAATCTCACTAATGGATCTGTGCATCTGCCAAGAGGTGGGAAACCAGGATCCCACGAACTGGGGTCATGGCTCCCTCCTAGTACAACAAAACCAAGGTTAAGCAATCCACGAACAAAATAACCTCCAAATGTTAAAACACTGAACACAGAAGCACACGGGGAATGAGCAATGCAATGAAAGCACCTTTGCAGCGGTGATATAGAAGCTACCAAAAATGAATTAAATCCCTGCAAGACAACAAGGATCCCACAGGACTTGTTGGCCCAAAGTAGTTCACAAGTTGGACATACAAGACCCTTCTGGTACCCAACCCCCAGCTGTTTCTGGGCTGGAATATGCTGAAAAACAAATGGTAACACAAGGTTAAAGAAATGAAGACCTATATAGTCAGCTGCAGGTGGCAAGGAAATTGAGAGAATGCAGCTAACCACATTTCAGCTTTGACTGGACTCGTGGGTTACCTCTGAATTAGCAGTAGGGTTTGCTCCCCTCCTACTGACAGAGCCTGAGCACTGGCTGCCAGGAGGGATTGAGAAAGCTCCAGTCCCAGATGCCCTCCAGCTCCCTGCTTCAGCAGGTGTTTCCCAAATAAGAGAATTCTCCTTTGCTAGTGCAATAGAAAGCCTGACATGGAGTAAGACCAAATCGTATCACAGCAAGAAAACACCCTGATTTACAGTAAAGGCAAAGTGCACAACCTAACCCAGAGGGTCACAGTACACAAGTGGAGTTTCTCCTGCAAGAACCACCTGTGCTTCTGCTCTCCAGCTCTGGCAGAACCCTGGTTCCCCTGGCCACAAAGACTGAGGACTGGGGCCATGGCTGGCAGAGCACCAGTGAGACCCCAGCCACATCCCTCTCCTCCCTTAAAGCCAACCTCTGATCCAGCTTCCCATTTTAACCACCAGCTCTGCAAACTAGCACTAGGTCTCCTTACTTTACCACCATTAGGTCCATCTTCAGGTATAGCAACACCAACCTGCCAGCAGCAACTGTCCCAAATACAACTGAACCTTCTGTACTGGAGGGATAAAAGACAGAATCCAGACTTGGAACAAGAAATGGCTTAATGCCACTCCTGCTGACATCAACAGGGAATGCTGCTTGCCCGCTCAAGGCCTTCTCAGCCCTTCCATGCCAGCAAGGATAGGAATTTCTCCTGGTCCAAGCCAGCAGAGGTGACTCACAGCAGTACAGGGAGCCATGATGCTGACTCAGGTGGACTTCTCCGTTTAAAATAAAAGCAAACCCTAGTCACTTTTCAGAATAGAATCACACAGGTAGCATTCAAAAATAAAAAATAAAAATTAAGCTCATCTTTCTTGCAAACAACATCTGCTGCGTGTCTCCTGTGCTCTGCAGGAGACACCTAGCAATGGCTGCTTGAATCCTGACCTCTACCTGGAGGACTCTCTCGATCCTTCTTAGCACACTAAAGAGGTCGAGCTGAGGATGCCGAGGTCGTGGAGGGACTTCTGACAAATCTCCAAGGACATTCCTGTGCTGGCTGTCAGTTCCTCCTGCAGAAACCGAAGACACCACGTAACCCGCCGCTGCGCAGAGCCTGCTCCCACCTCGTCGCCCCCAGATCTCCCAGACAACCAGCAGCCCCTTCCCTGGGCTCCCCCGCCTGCTCCTCCAGCAGGCTCAGCACTGCTGGGAGAGGGGATTAAAAGAAAGCCAGGCTTCGTGCAATTC